TTAGTGGCATGATGGGCCAAGAGTGTCATCTGAACGTGGGATGGGGTCAAAGCATCAGGAGTTCCCAGAGCAGTGATTAGGGCCAGGGATCAAAGACAACAGGATGAGTATGAATGTTCTATTCTTACCAACACCATGGTCCCTTTCTTAAAGTGATGAGTTAAACTTTTCAATAAGTAATCACCTTTAAGGCCTTTAAATCCCATCAAATTAAATACAGATGCTCCTCCATTTATGATGGGGCCATGTCCTCATAATCCTATTATAAGGTGAAAATATCCTAAGTCAGAAATTCATTTAATACACCTAACTTACCAAACATGATAGCTTAGCCTAGCTTACCCTAAATGTGCTCAGAACACAGTAGCCTACAGTTGAGCAAAATTGTCTAACGCAAAGCCTATTTCATAATAAGTATTAAATATCTGTTGACTATTTATTTATAATGTGTTGAATATTTCATGTAACTTACTGAATACTGTGTTGAAAGTGAAAATCAGAATGGTTGTATATGTACCATTGTAAAGTTAAAAAAAACACAAACCATCCTAAGTTGGGGACTGTCTATTCATAGCAAAGGAATTAAAAGGTATTTTAAGAAACTTTGTCAATATGCACAAATACTTTTTAGTTAAGGCGGTTCACGGTAGGTGGTCACTTCTCACAGACTGCTTTTATAGATTCTTTATAAAGCTTTTGTAAAAAAGATATAGAACTATACACATACATTGAAACAATGTCAGATTCCTGCCTTTGGTATTTTACTATGATTATGTAAGATGCAACCATTAGAAAAAACTAGGTGATGAGGCCAGGTGTGGTGGCTCGCACCTGTAATCCCAGCGCTTTGGGAGGCCGACGCCGGCAGATCATGAGGTCCAGGAGTTCGAGGCCAGCCTGACCAACATGATGAAACCTCGTCTCTACTAAAAATACAAAAATTGGCTGGGCATGGTGGCATGTACCTGTAATCCCAGCTACTCAGAAGGCTGAGGCAGGAGAATCACTTGAACCCAGGAGGCGGAGGTTGCAATGAGCCGAGATCATGCCACTGCACTCCAGCCTGGGTGACAGAGCGAGACTCTGTCTCAAAAAAAAAAAAAAAAGGATCAAAACCTGAGGATGCCACCCACTTAACGATGAGTTTTCTATTTTGTTTTTATTGTCCTTGTACCAAGGGTGAGTATAGCTCCAGTGAAGCTGTGACACAGGCAACAAAAAACTCTGGCCCAGATCTTGTTCTGCCCAGGGGAACCAACAATAGTCTCCTTAAACCAGAGAGGGTGTGGGGATCTCAGAGAAAAGAGAACTGGAAAAGAACATCCCATGATAGTGTGTATAAATCTGCACAAGTTCCAGGCTCACTCCTCAGATGAGCATGCCTAGGACTGACCCAAAGCAAGACAGCAAAAGCTCTGAGAACTGAATCATGACATAAACCACAGCCCAACCCTCAGTCTAACCCGTGAGTGACACAGGATTGGGACAAACTCAAAGCAGTATGAAAACCGAGCTGACATTAGAGCCTCCACCCAAGGAGGTGAGACAGCACTTACAATCTGAACCCAGCCAGGTCCACTGCCTGCAAAATAACAAGGAAAAACCAACGTTCTCCAGATGCTGTAGCAAGACCTGCAGCATCACAACATAATATTCAAAATGCCCGCAGTGTATTCCAAAGAACCAGGAAAATTTAATTAGCTGTCAGGGGTAAGGACAATCAATAGATACCAATCCCAAGGTGGCCCAGATGTTGGAATTACCACGCAAAGACTTTTAAAACAGCTATTATAAATATGTTTCCTGAGTAAAGGTAGACACCCTTAAAATTAATGAGAAACTTAACTGCTTGCAATGCCTGTGCAAGATCATTATGAACATCAACGATGAAATTAATACATGAGTAAAGGCCAGGCATAGTGGCTCACGCCTGATCCCAGCACTTTGGGAGGCCGAGGCGGGTAGATCACCTGAGGTCAGGAGTTCCAGACCAGCCTGGCCAACATGGCAAAACCCTGTCGCTACAAAAATACAAAAATTAGCCAGGCATGGTACATGCCTGTAATCCCAGCTACTTAGGAGGCTGAGGCAGAAGAATCACTTGAACCCAGAAGGTAGAGGCTGCCGTGAGCAAAGATCGTGCTACTGCACTCCAGCCTGGGCAACAGAGCAAGACTCCTCAAAAAAAAAAAAATGAGTAAACAAACAGAACATACATAAAAAAGAAAGGTCAACCCTATATGACCCAAGATACAGCACATACATTGCATCATTAAGCCACCTGTACTGCATAAGAAAATATTCCAGTTAATAGAAAGGATGGACCCTGTGGTCAAAGTCATGGACATAAAGAATGTAGAAAAATTCTTCCACAACCACTGACTGTTGAGAGGGAGAAGAGGCAAGGAAAGAAAAAGATACAAGGGAATCTGGAAACAACTTCATCACCTTGAGGACTGAGGAGGTTATAATAATATTTTTATGGTCTGGATGTCTCATGCCCTCAATGAAACCAGAGGTTCCAGCGGTGCTCCTAGCAGACAGCAGGCTGCCCCACCCTCTAGCTGAAGAACAGGAAAGTTCCACATGAACAATGCCCGGCCCTGCGGGTCCGCTGGCCAGGGCCTGCCCAGTGTGGGAGTAAATAATCCGAAAGCTGATTCTACCACAGGGGTCAAACATCTCCAGTGCAAAATTCTTCTCATCCTCCGGAAGTAAAGTCTTAGATTTGAGATGCACATTCAAAATACAGACTTTGAGACAGTTAAAACCTTTCTCCAAGAATATTAATACGAGGCCGGGCTTGGTGGCTCACACCTGTAATCCCAGCACTTTGGGAGGTCGAGGCAGGTGGACCACCTGAGGTCAGGAGTTTGAGACTAGTCTGGCCAACATGGTAGAACTCCATTTCTATTAAAAACTACAAAAATTAGCTGGGCATGGTGGGGGTGTGGCGCCTGTGATCCCAGCTACTCAGGGGGCTGAGGCACAAGAATCTCTTGAACCAGGGAGGCAGAGGTTGCAGTGAGCCAGGATAGCGCCATTGCACTCCAGCCTGGGTGACAGAGCGAAACTCCATCTCAAAAAAAAAAAAAAGAATATTTATATGTAAATATGTCACACGCATATACAGATGATAAATCTGTATAAAAATTTTAATAAGCAATTATTCCAGATGGATTGCTTGCAGGGCTTTTTTTTCCTTTGAGATAGAGTCTCACTCTATTGCCCAGGCTGGAGTGCAGTGGTGCAATCTCAGCTCACTGCAACCTCTGCCTCCTGGATTCAAGTGATTCCCCTGACTCAGCCTCTTAAGCAGCTGGGATTACAGGCATGCACCACCATGCCCAGCTAATTTTTTGTATTTTTACTAGAGAAGGGGTTTTGCCATGCTGGCCAGGCTGGTCTCGAACTCCTGACCTCGTGATCCACCAGCCTTAGCCTCCCAAAGTGCTGGGATTATAGGAGTGAGCCACCACGCTCTGCACTTATAGGGCATTTTAATTTTCACAATTATACTTTTTTTGGTATTTTTCAATGTTTTTATACTAAACACGTAATTCATTTTAAGGAAAGAAAAATAAATAGAATATGCCAACAGGTTTTTAAGTCACTGAATTTCTTTTACAGTCGAAGGGAGTGAGGATGTGGGCACTATGCTGACAGCTACAACAAAACCACATCAAACCCAAACTCTACAACAGATGGCCTGGGAAAATTACCTAGGATGAAGAAAACACTACCTAGCTTGGATTTACTCCACTTGTTCGCTACATTTCAATGGCACACGGACCTCCGCTCATGGTATCTATGGCAGGGTTATTTGTACACTGACACATTCGTCTTTTTTTTAAGTACCCTCTTCTCACTTTATTATAAAATCTCAATGGCAGAAACCATACCTTTCTTGTGATTGTAACCTAAATACACGGAAGTTTTAGCCTAGCTCTTCTGAGTGGGAATCTTCATCACTGACAATGTCTTATGATTATAAAAAGGGCACTTCAAATACATCAAATCTTCGTTTTCACGGGTGGACCCAAGATAATCCAGTTCATATCATATTCACGTCAAAAGTTAGCTATGAAAGCCAGGTTTCTCTGTCTTTGGTAAGGACATTGTGAAACCGACCATAAGGCACTTAATGATGTAAGTTATAATGATTAATAAGACAAATTTTCACTCCCCTGAGATATTTAAAAACTTATTAAAATAAACGTAATCATTACCCTTCTATGACTTGAAAACAGGCCTCCAAAACTGCAGAAGAAAGGATGAAATGTATTTATTTCTAAGTTAAATTTGAAGCGAAATCACAAGACAACAGATTGCAAATTTAAAATTAGATTCTAGTGGGAGGTCTTGGTTTCAAGCCTGTTTTTTCCCTCCTGGAGGCTGAGCTTGAAGACGGTGTTGGGGGGTGGGGGTGAGGGAGAGCTAAGATTAAACTGAGACAAAGTTCTGAAAGTTTTCACTAAATTGTTACAACCCATGAAAAGAGTTTTGCCAAGTCACACACAAATACCCCGAACACCAGAGACTAAGCAGGAAAGTTTTGCAACAAATACAAGATGATCTTTGATTTTGAAAAGATTATTATTTTGACTGTGTTTATTTTTACTTTTTAAAGATTATCTGGAGCAGAAACAAAACATATTATTGTTTTCAAGTCAGATTTTGAAGCCCAGGTTCCCCTTTTTCAAACGTAATCCAATATAAAGGTGGTGAAATCCAGGGATACATTTAAGAGATCCTGAGGGCAAGTCACAGGGAGGAAAGGATTTCATAGGCACCTAACTTTTTCTTGTCTGTTTTGTTTTAACCTAATACTTTTGAATTGTCAGATGGGTGTGACCCTAATCCAAGGAGGTGATTCCAAATTCTTTTTCCCAGGAGCTATACACAACAATGGTGGTAAAATGTATCTGTCCCACCACCTTTGAAGCATTTCCATTAATTCATACAGACATACAGGCTCAAATATACATATGCAAACCTACCTTAAAAGGCAACAGTGGTCCCCAGCCCAACTTGCTCCAAGAGCACTGTGGCATTTAGATATTGAGGATGGAAATGATGTCCGGATGAGCAGCCACTGGGCTGGGGATGGTGTCAGCACCTGCCCCCTGGGGTGGCCATGGCAGCTTCATCTAAGTCTGTGAGAATGCACCACAAACCTGGAGAGGAGCGGGTCAGAGGGGAGAGAAAACCAGAAAGGAAATGATGAGGCAGAAGGAAGCAAATAGGCATTTTCCGTCAAACCCATTTCATCAATTCCATGATATCAACTTTTTGTGAAATATCGTCAGAGGCGTTTGAACCACAGCAACTCCATCTTTAGCTGGGTTAAATGAGGCTGAAACCTACTGGTCTGCATTCCCAGATGGTTAAGGCCATTCTAAGTCTTGGGATGAGATAGGCGGTCAGCACCAAGATACAGGTCAAAAAGACCTTGCTGATAAAACAGATTGCAGTGAAGAAGCCGGCTAAAACCCACCAAAACCAAGACGGTGATGAGAGTGACCTCTGGTCATCCTCACTGCTACACTCCCACCAGCACCATGATAGTTTACAATGCCATGGCAATGTCAGGAAATTACCCTGTACGGTCTAGAAAGAAGAGGCATGGGCCAGGCACGGTGGCTCACACCTGTAATCCCAGCACTTTGGGAGGCCAAGGCAGACAGATCACCTGAGGTCAGGAGTTCAAGACCAGCCTGCCAACATGGTGAAACCCCATCTTTACTAAAATACAAAAATTAAATGTGCATGATGGTGTGTGCTGGTAATCCCAGCCACTGAGGAGGCTGTGGTGGGAGAATCGCTGGAACCCAGGAGGTGGAGGTTGCAGTGAGCCAAGATCACACCATTGCATTCCAGCCTGGGTGACAAGAGCAAAACTCAGAAGAAAGAAAAGGCAAGAAAGGTAAGGAAGGGAAAGGGAAAGGGAAAGGTGACAAGGAAGGGGAAGGAAGGAAGGAAGGAAGGAAGGAAGGAAGGAGGGAGGGAGGGAGGGAGGGAAGGAAGGAGTGGCATGAATGCTTTACCCCCCGTTTAGCATATAATCGAGAAATAGCTACAAAAATGGGCAACCGGCAGCCCTCGGTACAGCTCTGTCTATGCTTTTATTCCTTCAATTTCTTAATAAACTTGCTTTCACTTTACAGACTCTCCCTGTGCGAGAATTCTTACTTGTGCGAGATCCAAGAACCCTCTCTTGGGGTCTGGATCAGGACCCCTTTCCTGTAACAATATGACATGCCAAATCAAAATGACAGGCTTAATCAGATAAATAAATAAAGACCAGCTACAATACATGGCCCTACAGACTACGTTATCTTATTATTTTAATCTATCTGTGTATATTAAGGTATTAGAGAACAGAAACAGGTTACTATGAAATGATTCCCATTTCCCACTCAATCTTCAGTCTCAAGAAACAGACATGCAAGGAAACCAGCAACCCTCAGTTATTCTCAAAGTAGTGCTCTATTCATAACAGACACGGAACAAAATGCTGCAAGAGGGTAACACAGAAGCCCAAGTCAATCATATAGAACTTCCCATTGTATACAAGTTTTCTTAGGATGGCAAACATCAAATTCAGAGAAAATGCATGAAGAATATGCACCGGAAAGAATTTAGGTAAAAGATCCAACTGTAATTTAACATGGAAAATCAATGGACAAGAGCTCCAGGAACACGTAGTTGTTTTATTTCCTTTTTCTTTTAAAAGCCTGCCAGCAGAGGTGACGTTACAAATACCATGGCATGCAAAACAAAGGCCTGAAGGGCCTCTTTGGGTGGTTTCATCTTGGTACTTTCTTCCCAGACATTCCCCTGGGGCTGCTCACTGCTGGTAGTTTCAGCAGGTGAGAACCCGAGATGAAAACCACTTTGAGCAGGAGCACGAAGAAAACTGCCTATTTTGTGGAAAGGAGCCACATACAGGCAGTAAGTAAATAAATATTTATGTCTAACCAGAAAGGAGCCATAAGCAAAGACCGTTCTTCCTTATTTTGGAAAAGAGTCTGCTTAACCATGAAGTTAGTGACTCATGCTCACAGGGAAAGGGGCACAAGTTCTCAGCAATACCCCATTATTACCCCATGATACGTGCCCTTTCCACAGTTCCCCCAAAGCTTCCCGGTTCGCTCCCTTTCCCTGGACATCCTCCTTAAACAGCTCTCTGCAAAATTTCCAAATTTCTGAAGCAGTTCCTGAATTGCTTAGGAACTGGCAGAAATTAATAAGCAATAGCCCATTTATACTGAAATGGACTCATTACGGTGCCAGCTGCCAATAATTTGCAAGGCTGGATTCTTGCTGGCAAAGGAGGCCTGCAGGCGGCTGTCCTTCCACCTGCACAGCAGAGGCTGATAATGCATTTTCTATACTTTAACAAAATTACGTATTCAGATAGAATAATTTTTTTCCTCTATCTATATTCTTTTAGTCCCGGGGGGCGGGGAACAACTTTATAGGGAGAAAGGGCATTATTTTAAAAACATAACGAAGTCGATTTGGTGTAACTTCTTTCTGATTTTGGCGGGGAAAAGATTTGCCTATGACCCTGATTGTAAAAGGGATCCATGATGTGGACTAATGAAAGCTCCACAATCAGCAGACATGCTAAGGTCACAATGTGCCAGCAAGTACGTATCCATTTCCCTTACAGCAAGTTAATGGCATCATGGCCTTGGAAATGGATGCCTCCACGGCAATTTGGGAACTACCAGTACCATGGATTTTCTCCAAGAGCTACAGAGAACTCAGTTTCACTCGGAGACAGCTACGTACCAAGCTCAGTGTTCTAAGTCCAAGCGAGGAGCCGTGCGGCATGCATCCGGACACATCTTGGCTTTGCAAGTCAAATCTTTACTTTCTGCATGACTTGGGGCAAACTCTAAATGTCCTATCCCTCTAACAAGCGGGGATGATAAGATTCCTAAATCACTGGGTTGTCATGAGCATTAAATGAGATCATCTATGTCACACAATTTGCCTCATGCCTATCCCATAATCAGTTCTCAATAAACATTACTATAGTCCACGATCGGTTCTCAATAAACATTAGCTATTATTTCCACTACTATTTAAAATGTTTAAACCATAAGGAATGTGCCACACAACGGGCCACTGTTATACAGGCTTCCTTAGTAAAATGATACCTAATTCATTGAAACTGAATCATATGTTATATCAGTCACCTTAAATTTGTTGTGGAACAAGAGGGAGAATTAACTAATCCAGCTAGAAGATGCACACGGTCTACGGGTCACTTGGCTACAGCTCACACACACACAACCATACTTATGAAATCCAGCAGTACCAGTACGTCTGCTTGCATTACATTAACATGACCTAGGCAAGTGAATGTTGAAATAACCAAGCTTTTCAGTCTCACTCTGAGGCATCCTTGATATGGTTTGGCTGTGTCCCCACCCAAATCTCATCTTGAATTGTAGCTTCCACAATTCCCACATGTCATGGGGGGGACCCAATGAAAGGTAGTTGAATCATGGGGGTGGGTGTTGCTCGTGCTGTTCTCCCAATTGGTGAGTGGGTCTCACAAGATCTGATGGTTTTAAAAAGAGGAGTTCACTGTAGAAGCTATCTCTTTGCCTGTGGCCATCCAGGTAAGATGGGACTTTCTCCTCCTTGCTTTCCACCAGGGTCATGAGGCCTCCCCAGCCACATGGAACTGCGAGTCCAATTAAACCTCTTTCTTTGGAAAATTGCCCAGTCTCGGGTATGTCTTTATCAGCAGAGTGAAAACAGACTAATACAATCCTCAATTCATATGGCCAATTTCTGTTTCATGTGTCAAATAACCAGTTTTTACAGGAAAATGTGTATACTGGAAGTGAGAAAGGTTTTACCAAAACTAATCTCAGGTTTCAAATACCCACAAAAAATACCTGGATAGGGCTGAGAAGTCCCACTGCTCCACCCTGTAATATGATTTAAGACGAAAATACGGTGTCAGAAACAGTGTGTCCATGGCATTTAATCCTTGGCTTTTCCCCAAATGTCTGCTAGACCAGAACTTTCTTTTTCACCTTCAAAGTGTCAAAGACACTGGGTGTGGGGGTGGAGGACAGATATAGAGCAATCCCTGTGGTTTGGGAGGTTGAGATGGGAGGATGGCATGAGGACAGGAGTTTAAGACCAGCCTGGGCAAAACAGTGAGACCCCCCAACCTCTACAAAAAATTAGCTGGGCATGGTGGTGTATGCGTATTCCCAGATACTTGGGAAGGCTGCATCAAAGGATTTCTTGAGCCCAGGAGTTTGAGGTCATAGCCTGGGCAACAGAGTGAGGCCCTAACTCAAAAAACAAACAAATAACAACCACAAAAACACACTCAGAGGGGACATTCTGTCATTTTCAAGTCCTTTCAAGTTCCAGGGATCAGTGTACAGACAAAAGGATATGATATTGTATTTGCCCTCAAAAGACCCAAGTTCAATTACCAGGTGCTATTACTTCATAAATTATGTGATTTTTTGATAGTAAATTATCCATTCTGAAAACCATCAGAAAAAATGAGGACGTAATATAATCTGCCTTACCAACACTTACTTCTAATATCTTTTCTTATAGGAAAGAAGTAGATAATCAACATGTAACACTATAAACTGTAAAATTTATATAAGTATGTTAATTCTTACTGTGTTTACTATGATTTAGTGCCCCCAAGTTTTCCATAACTAGTAGGTTAATGATAATCAGGAAGTTTTCCTTTACACTGAGCTTAAACGAAGGGGGCAGAGGTCTTGGATCAAAATCCTAAACATTTATTTCATATGCAATAAGCACCAACAGACTTTAGCTTTTAATAGTCATACTTAGACCCCAAATCAGTATTGACAGATGAATAGATGGACGGTAGATGAGTAGATGGATAACTGGACAGATGGATGGATAATAGATATACAGATGAATGTTGGACAGATGGGTGGTGGATGGAGATAGAGATATGGATGAATGGTAGATGGGTAGATGGATGGATACAGGGACAGATGGATGGTAGATGACCAGGTGGATGGATGTAGATGGATGGATCTAGTGCATCAGAAAATTTTAAATGGTTCAGAAATTAAAGAAATTTCATCAGTCACTTTTTAAACTGTTACTTAAGAAAAAACTTGGGAATGACTTCCAAGGATGCACA